GACGACGACGACGAGGACGAGGATGAGGCCGAGGACGATGGTGGTCCAGCTGCATCGGCGTTGGAGCTGATGGTGAGGGGGGGGCTCATGGTAATGGCTTGGCCGTGATAGCGATGATACTTGAGCTGCACAGCGGGCTTTTGATCGTTACGTTCACCCCGGACCCAAGGCCTGAGCAAAGTATAGTATAGGGGCTTGAGACGCGTGGAGATTCGAAAGCCCAAAAACAACACCCACATGGGCTTCAATCAAACCCTGAACCCTCTGCTGCCTCGGGATCACGGGGCCGCTGGAGGAAGAGACGAATTCAAAAGACACCATACTGCAACGCCGTGGCGCAGGCGCCAATGGCCGCGGTGTAGGAGATGAGGTTCAGCTGTAAGGCTGCAGCCAATCCTTCCTCGAACCTTCGTACTGCAACCAGGAATCTCAGGCATGCTGCGGAGTCCAGAATCCAACTTCATAACGCTCAAGAAGGGTGGTATTGGCGTCTAGTCTCCAAGGCTTCGGGGCGCAGTGGGCGTTGTCAAAATTGTCAGAGGCTCTAGCCCGAAAGCCCATGAATTTGGGAAGCCTCTGAGCTCGCCTCCGTTCCAGGTTGAGGCTCCTTGAAACCCAACAGGATAGCTCAACCCTTCCTGCGGCTTCGCTGCAGGAGGATGGCCGCCTGTCCGATGCAAGCCGACACTAGGTGTTAAAGAAGCCCTCAGGCAACCAATCTGCAAAAAGAGTCAACGCAAGGCGCGACAGAACCGATGAATCCCAAGACCAACGACCCGAAATTCGAACACATGCTGTCACATGCTCGACCGTCTTTCAGGACCCTGCCTGTTTAGACCGTCTATGCCCTGGAACTGGACCCTGAAAAATCATTGAACCTTGAGACTTAGATTCCTAAGTCCCGATCCGAAGCCAGAAACCAAATAGCCCCATACCATGGCCCTATGTCTTCGAAATCAGCCTAAATCCCGAAATCCTGACCCGCAGGCCTTTCCGCTAAACCCTGCTCAACACCTGCATCTGCACGAGGCCTCCCAGTGCTCTGCCCGCGCGGCCGCGGACACCACGGCTCCAGGCAGGAGCCACGCCTCTCTGCGCAGGGGAGAATAGGAGAATACACGCCCTATTTCCTACTTTTCCTTTTTTTGTATGTTGGTGACTGAGGCTTCCGTGGCTTTGGGGCCCCGTCTACCCTGCTAGCGGTCACTTCTGGAAAGGATGTTGCCCATGTTCAAGGGCCGAAGAAGCGGAAAGGCGAAACTGGAGAAAAAAGTCCACAAGAACCCATAGGCCATAGATACATCCACATCCTGCGCACCTTAGGCAAAGCAAGGCCAGAAATCCACCAATGCCCCAGACACCCCGACAGCTTTCGACCCAGAGCCCCGCGGCCTCACCCCGGAGCGTCTCGAAGGCTGCTAGGGCCTCTGCAAAGCTGTAGAACAACAGAGGCGCTTTTCTCAAATCCGGGGACGCTTCGGGGCCTTTAGGCTCCTCACTTCGCAGCCCGGGCCCGGGAGCTGAGACTTCGACCACAAGGATACAACGACGACTCCTCATCCTCCCGCTGCCACTCCTACTCTAAAAACTCTCAGATCTTGAAAAGTTTCGACAACGATGAACTGACTAGATGTTGACTGAAGCTTAGCCTGAGTGCCATTTCGTAGCCATTCGAGGGGTCGATGACAGTTGCTCCCGATGCAAACTGCATCCCAGACCCTGCGTACTGCATAATGTTAGCTTACCCTCCTCAGGAACTCAATTATCAACGCCCCATCAATCCAAAAAACGACCCCGGGAACTAGACAATAATCCCGTCCCTGATTCCTAACTGAACACTTAGGCCCCAGGCCCTTGTCAGCCATCCCGAGCGAGCGTGGTAGTACTGGGACCCCCCCGTCAAATCAATCAAAAGGCGGGGGTTATTGAATCGAAGTCAACATGACATTGCGGACAAGACCAACCCCTGAGCGAATGAATTCGCTACTACGGCTTCTGGTAAGCGAGGCGCCTGCTGCCACTCCCCGCCGCGCTCGCAAGCCGTGACGGCCGCCGTGTGGGTGGCTTCGGAAGCTTGCACCTGACTTGCCTCGCGGGGCCAAAGAGGGAGCTTGCTCTTGCGGAGGGCCCCACGATGACGAGCTCTCATCTGAACCTGAAGCTCATTTTGCATTGGCAGGCGGATGTGGCAGCCAACAAAAGCTTGAGAAAACAGCGTCCGAAGAATCATCCAACAAGTCCCGGAGGCTCCACAGCCGAAGGAGCACAATCAGTTCTGTTGTGCTGCCAGGAAGTGGCGACATCCCAGACTCACTCGCTATCATCGCAGATGAAGCGGTTACACTTGATCTTGAAAAGTGTTCTGCCTTACAGACCTTGGGTCTGATTTTTCGCAGAAGTCTGGCAGCATGACATTAAAACACTTAGAAGCAGCGCGACCGCTACCAAAGAGCCGGCATACAAGGCTTGACCGACAGGGAAGGAGAACATGGAAGACAAGAAGCCAATCCAAATCTCTATCCCGATGTAGACGGGCAAGACAACCCCCGAAGCCAGCAAGTTGACGAAGAAGCTGACGCACCGCGAGCACTTTCTACGAAGCACATTCGAGAGCGAAAGGACGCACATATTCAGAATGGGAAAGGCCCCTAGCCACCAAGCTACGATAAAGAAGACCTGGTCCGCGGCAAAAGTCCAGTCTCCGGTGAATGCAGCATAGAAGACTTTAGGCATATAAGCCCACAAAACTGGAATGGAGCAAGCCACCATCCAAGAGTACGAGAAGGAGAAGTGGCCCAACTGCGGCACCAGGGCAACCTCCATTCTCTCCCGAACCCTTTGATTGAAGGCGTCCGTCGAGCCGAACCAACTGACGATGCAGTCGATGATTATTTGCTTGTCGCAGATCGGAATCGGATTTCCAGATGCATCCTTGTGATCTTGGGTGCAGCAATGCGTCAAAGTATCCTCAATGGCGAAATTTCTCAATTGAAGCTGCATCTCTTGAACTGACAGGTAGTACCTGCGAAAGGAGGTCACCGCTGCAAACATGAAGCTAGTTATCGCCAGCAGTATGAGTCCCAATCGCAGCAGGGAGTTTGTGGAGATGTCCAAGGTGTTCGCAAAGTAGAACGTAGCGAGGTTTACCATAAGAACACTTGCCACCCCTGCATGGCATGCAACGCTGCAGGGTCCCTGGAAGGAAGGTCGAATCAGCAGCTTTGCATCGCCTCCATGCGCTTTAATGAAGGCAGCCATCTCGAAAACACCTGGGCTCTTTTGAACTTGGGCCTAGTCACCCTAATCGCTTGCCAATGCTGGAGTTCGCAGAGGGGCAAGCAGTGGGGACTCTGATTTCTGTGCCCGGGCTTCAAAGACTTCTGCAACTAACAAATCCAAATTCGAACCCAGACACACCATGCCCTTTGCATGTAGCTTGAATCCCAACAAACGACAATGGAGTCGCAGGTCTTGAGAATCGCAGGCATGCTGATCAACCCCGCGGTTTTTCTGGCCACGTCTGCTTGGTGGATGCAGATCTGATCCAAGAACACCGTGTGACGCGGGCGCCAGAAGAAGAAGGTCACTCCGCAGCAAAAGACTGAGAAGAGAGTGGTGCAAAGCATGAGCTCCAAAGGGTCTACTGGATCCTGCAATGGGCCAACGGTCCACCAGAGCAGGACAACCAGAATGCCCCCAAGGGTGCCCATGCAGATGCTTGGAATGCCATTGGTCAGGACAAGAAGCATTAGCACCTTTGACAGCGTTGCCCCATGCCAGCTGTGGCTCCAGAACTGCGCAATCTTCTCAGTGGGGAAGCTGAAGGTATGCAGCCTGTCCTTGTCCTCCACACCGAAGCCTCGGAGAATGCGCCCGCCTCTCCGCAGTGGCACATACGCAGGCGTTCCCCGCACCAGATCCGCTCGTAGGGGCTGAAGGCTTGTCAGGGTACCTACCAGTGCTTGGCGAACTCCATCTTGCAAGGGTGCAGGACCGGGCTGGATGGTGACATCGTCTTCACACACCTGGTCCGACGCTGTGGTGACCTCAGACTCGTCTCCTGCCTGAGACTTCCCTAGCTCTGTAGGCCGGAGGTTAACATCTGTCCCTGGCTTGCCCGCCGGCATGCTGCACTCGGAGTTTGCGTTTTGCATCCGGTCTCCGACTGCGTACTGCACGACGTCGCTGCTCTACGGGCTCAGCGGAAAAGGCTCGAGCCAGTGCACAGCGCATGGTCACATGCGAATCTTGCATCAGCTTTCGGATTCCGGCATTCATACGGCATGCGGAGCCCTTCCGGAACTGCTGCACTGCTTGCCTGGAGCTCTGCCAGCAGCGCTACCGCACAAGGCCAGGCGTTGCCTTCGTGGGACAGGTGTCGCAAAGAAACCGAAGACAAGATTCAGATCGGGTTTGGGATAGGAAGCTTTCAGGCGGCTGCAGGCGGCTGCGGGCGGCAAGCGGGCGGCCGGGGGAGCTGAAGGCCGGGGGTCAGCCGGGAGAGTTTTCCGGAGTGCTTTCTCCTGAACCCCGTGGCCTTCGAGCCGAGTTCCGAAACTCCCCGGCCTCGCCCGCAGGCACTGAGTGCGGCGTTGAAGGCGATGGTCGTCCTCTCCAGGTGAGCCTCGTTTACAACCCTCGGGTTTAGGGTGGTCGGGGCCGGGGGCGTCTCACGTCCAGCTGGGTCGGTTTCGAAGCTTCGTTTGCAAGCCTGGGGTTTAGGGATCAAGGCGGTTCGGGCCCCAGGGATTTGCACAAAAAGCGAACCCGCAAAGCTTGGGACACATCGTGAATCCATTGCTGAGCTTGAGCTCTGGCCTCAAGACAAATTCACGATCCTTAACCCGAACCCTCACCGTCGTGGCTGCACGCGATTCTATGGAACGCCACGTTTGCGAGCCGCAATGTCTAGCGCCAGACCTCCGCAAGAGCTCGCAGGAGGGCAAGCGCGGGCTGCCACTGCCCACACTTTTCGCAGGCACTGATAGCAGCATTGAAGGTGATCGTCTTAGTAAGTCACGAGGTGTATCACTGGATATACGGCGGATTGGTTGCAATCTACAAATTGCTTGGGGTTCACACATACATGAGGTTTGAATGCCCGAACATGGGGTACGGTACAGCGATCCAAAGCTTGTCACAGCCACTACTAGAAGCTGCATCCTTCACAGACTCAAAAAGCCTTCATGCTACAACTTGGCATTCCGGATTTGGCAAGCTGTAGGCATTTTACCCAAAGGCATACACACTTCTTCTCGAGATCTCAATGCAACACATCATGTAAGAGAAAGTACTGCAGAGCATTGTTAACCGTATGGAAAAACTCTCATTCAGCTCTTGTGGCCCTGCATGGTGATTACTTCTAGCGAGAAGCCCGTAAGACAGGTTTAGTTTATAGATCTATAAGCTCAAGGTGCAGACTTTCAAACGAGCAATTGCACTGAATCCGAGAATGACCCCCGTGTCGAAGGTGCATCCTTTCTCATCTGCGATTGGCGCGCTTCTGCGAACAGCGCCAGAGCCTGACAGCGGTGCTTCGGCCTTCCATCTTCCTTCCCCCTGAATCCTTGAATCCATGCTGTATGCTGAGTTGCTGCTTGTTTCTGTCGTTGTGGGGGAGTGGCGGCAGGACGTGTGATCTTCATGGTCTCTGAAGACCTGTGGACCCATCAATTCTTCGATTGCCGCTGCATCCCTACCAAAAGTCACTACTGCAAGCCACCATTTACCCTCTTTGCACCAACGACAAAGGTGACAGCGCACGCAGCTGACGGACCCAGAGCCAACAAGAAGATCAAAATGATCGCCGTGGCGCCGGCTCCCAGCACGCTCCCTTCTCGCAGGCGCTGATGGCGGTGTTGTAGGAGACTTCGTTTGCCTCTGGAAGAAGGGAGGCTGGTTTGGGGTTATGCAGTTTACTCGCAAGTGGTCAAGGACTTACGGATTTTCAGACTGCCAGGCTTGGGTCGCGGTAGAGAAACAAGGCGGTGCCTCCAGGGCGGCGTGCACCAACGCCGAGAGGTAGGCCAAAGCTAGTTCCCAGTTTTTGCCTCTGGCACCTCGATTGGCTTCTTAGGGCTTGTTTTGCTACAAAACTGGAGGGGTTGAACGCAACAAAGGCGAGGTGCTCTAAAGCTGTTCGCGGGTTTTGTTGAGCTTCACGTGGCTTGGTTTTGCGTGCGAACACTCCAGACTCATGCAGCGCGGTTGCGAAGAAGCCTATCCAACTGAAAGACTAGTCCCAGAGCCATCTAAACTCTTCAATCCCGTCCTCCAAGCCCTGAAGACAGGGCCCTTTGCTTGGAAACCCCTTCAGGCAGGGGGCAAGCGCCGATGGCTGCAGAATACCCGACTACGCCGGGCTGCAGGACTCCCCTCCGACCTTCCTCGAACCTTTGATGCTGTCACGGCTTTGGCGGCTGTTTGCAAACAGCACCAGCTTAGCTCTTCGTCTAGGCCTGTAATTCGGGGTGCAAGTTTGAATTCAGGAGGGGCAACAAGGCATAAAGAGCCGCCATCGACGTGAATCCTCACCGTGAGCCCTCGGTCCTGAACCCTGGCACTCATGCCTTAAGACTTCAGACACTAGTGCCAAAGCCAAACGAAAAAAACAACACCCCTGAGTGAGCTACGCCTGTTTGCTGCGACGGTGCAGCAGGAGTGCCTCCTGTGCCGCGTCGGTCGGGGCTGCGGTTTTCAGAGCTGAAACCTACAGGAAAGATCTAGAGAACTCAGGGTCCGGCATATATTACAGTGCGGCACCGCGCTGTGCAGTAAGTACCACTGCAAGCCACCGTTCTGCCTACTCCGTCATACATGCTTCTAGTGCAATAGAACTAGAGGAGCAGGCCCAAGATGTACGTCCAGCTGTGCCCCGATGGCCAAGGCCCGTCAAGCTGCAGGACCGAAAGCACAGTCCACGAGAAACAAGCGCCATCAAGCCCGGTCCTTCAACTTGGATCCTGCACTTCTCGGCCGTCTAGCATACCCCTGCGGCTTAAACCTTAAAGCACGCATCGCTAAACCCTCCATGTCCCTCCATCACTCCGGCCAGGGCCTGCCATCGCTCTTCCCGGGCAGCAGCAGCCACACACCCCGGCAGCAAGCGTGCCTTGATGCGTGTGGCTTCTCTTCGCTGTTCATAGACATGAGGCGGCGTCGTCTTTCTGCCTTACGGGTTTACTGCTGCACACTCTGCTTTCTGATCAAGGCTGTGTCTACACGATGCTACGACTTTTGTTGTTATTATGTTCATGCCCATTGCTGTCACCATCCTCGTGCGAATACCAAAAAAACGCGTGCAGGTTAGGTTTGCATCATCCTTTCCTGTCTTGCGGTGTTTTCAGGCTTTGGGTGGGTTGGATGGATCCAGAGTCTAGTGAAAACTGAACTCCCTCCAACGCCCGAGAACCTGAATCCTCAAGCCCTACGCCCTGCATACACCAACCTGTTCAGCCCTGAACCCCGAACTGCCCTTGACACTGAAACCTCGAAAACCATGCGGGCCTGCGGCGACAGCAGCACTTCGGCCATCCCCGGGCATGGCTCAGAGTTTTAGGGCGACAGCCAACGGTTCTGTGTCCCCATCGGAAGTTAAACGTTAGAAGCAGTATTCCCAGAGGCAAGAGTACCGACATGTATAGCAAGGGTCCAGAGATTGAAATCTGTTTTTGTTTAGGTCGTTATTTTAGGGCTTTGGCCCGGCACTTAGTAAGAGAGTCCTGGCGCTTCTTTCCCAGTGTACAAAAGCTGCAGCTGGCATCAGGACCAGGGTTCACATGAAGGTACCCCGCACGTCGCACGTGGTCTAGAGCAACACCAACAGAAAAAGACTAGAAAAAATATCTCAGTGCCGAGGCCCGTGCGGCTTTATTTAGGACGACGAATTAAGTTCGAGCTTGTTGGATGGATGCATCTGCAACACACTTTGGAAAATGGTCTGGGCACGCCGCAGCCATCGACCACATCATTGAAACCAGGATAGATGATAACGGCACGAGAGGAGGAGGAGGAGGAGGAGGAGGAGGAGGAGGAGCGGTGAGAATGAAGTGTAGGAAGGACAACACCGTGTTTCGGATGATTGATTCATTAAACATGACAGCCATACGCCAACAATCATTATCAGTACCATACTGTAGGGACAAGATGCTCTCCCTCTGGAGATGCATGCTACCTGCTACCAGCAGAAACCCTAGCGTTCCCTGCTCAGCCCCATGACAAAAAGGGCTTCAACGGCTCTTGCATGGTGTGTGATGCCTCAAGAGATTTGTTTAGGAACTCTGAGTGCGTAGGGTCTGCGGTGTCGGGCGACTTGTGTTTCTCATGCGATTTGTGTCAGTTTGCAGCAAAGCTGTTGCATGCAGGCGCCCTGGATTTTAATGTTCACACCAGCGAGAGACGCACACACACACACACACACCTCGGCCCTAAACTAAACCTTCGGGCTATGAAGGCTGAAGGCACTGGCAGCCCTGTGACCCTGGCACACCGAGGAAGCCGTACGAATAGTTGGTGGATCCCTCACCTGGAGAAGCTTGCACCCGATGGCATCCCGATCCAAACAAGCAATCAGGTGTTCCGAGCTTAGGTTGCAGGATCTCGAGTTGGCAATAGCCGGAGACGAGTACAACGAGCGAGAGGGAGAGAGGGAGGAGGGGAGGGAGGGGAGGGAGGGAGGGAGGGAGGGAGGGAGAGAGAGAGGGAGGAGGAGGAGGAGGAGGAGGAGGGAGAGGGAGGGAGGGGAGCTGTGTACATGTATATGTGTATGTATACACGTGCACATGTGCGTGTGTATATGTAGGCAGGATGGCAGGCAGGTGTTTAGTAGGTACAGGTAGGTTTGTGGATACTAGTGTTTACATGCACACATATATCTGTATCTGTATCTATATCTATACCTGTATCTATGTCTATGTCTATACCTACACCTACATCTACATCATTACCGTCTATACCCATGTCATCAACATCCATATCCATATCTGAAACTTGTTTGTCTACTGGCTTCGCCGCGGACCCACTCCCTGCGAGGCAAGCGACCCCAGAACCGCGTGCCCAGCTTGCCCGGGGGGTTGGTCTGCGCCTGAGGAGGGGTTCAGAGCCCGTTTTAGGATTTGGCCAGCTCAGAGTTTCCAAGGTACCCCAGTAGCAGGCA